TCGGGTCGTGTCAGTAATTTATTACCGAGGGAGCATGGCTTATTTATCGATCGATATCTGTTTCTTGCGTAATTTTCCGTTTATTTTTAGCTATAGGAAAATCGCAGATGCAGCGAATTATCGAAGGCTGGATAGAAAGGAAACTGTAATTGTCGTACTTTCATCTTTTCTCGTAATATCAAAATTCTTTTCTCGATAAATCAGGCTTTAGAATGTTGAAATAAAAATATCGTCAGATTGTATAAATTCTTTTCTCGGAAGTTTTATTACTGCCACTTACAGTTTATTTTACGTCCAGTCTTCGATTTGCGATGCTCAGAAATGCAATAAATTCGAGAAAAACAGAACAGAATTGAACAAAGATGTACTATAAAAGGGAGAAGATTTTACTCGAGACAAACGAGCTTAAGTTAATCGTAACTTTTTACCATACGAGTAACACAACTTTGCGAAACTTCATTTCAGAAATTTCTCAAATATTATCTTGCTTAGTACAGCAAATGTTCGCATCCGTAATTTCCCTCTGAAATTACCGTGCGAAACGATTCATTCGACTCGAAATGTAGAACACAAAGTGCGTATTTCACGTTCTTCCAAGGTTATTATTTCTGACAACTTCAGTGGCAAATTGAACTTACAGTTTGCAACATGGAAATCGTCCATCTACTTTTTAATTAACTGCTGATTTATAATTGTGTATCACATGCGCGCCAACGTGCGCAGACTGTTTCCGCAGTTTCTGCAACATAACCTCAAAATGATAATCGCAGCAACATCAACAACATTACGGAAATTAATGTATCACATTTATTGCACCACGTTTTCGTGCGTGTCTTCAGTTTTTACACCAGGCTGCACGTTGCAAGTTTTATTGCGCGATAAACAGCTCGCGTTGGAAAAAAAGGACGCGGAGATAAGTATTCGAAATGTAATTCGAAATAGGACAGACATTAACGGAACAACAGATAACCGTACGAAATAATTGTGTAATATATTAATAGATACGATATTCAATTTTGAAGGTAGTTAATTAAACTTTTGACACGTTCAACTAGCGACAAATTTAGCGTCGTACACCAGTAAAGATGTACAGGGTGTTCAGGCTGTTAACTTCCAGCGTTTTTCTCGCCAGTGGTAGATTTGTGAGAAAAGTAGAAGAGGACAAAGTTTCGTTATTCTTTCGACACAATATGATGGCTTGAATAGATTTATCGTATGCATCAACCCAATACACCGTCGTTCGTAAATATCAGGACACCCGTTATATTCGAACAGAGACTATTTCACGATTTGAATTACATTTCTTCGACAAAGTTAGCGTCGTATCTCAGTAAAAATAGACAGGGTGTTTGCTCTATTTACTTCCAGCGTATTTCTCGCGAGTGGTAAATAGATTCGTGAGAAAAGTAGAAGAGGGCGAAGTTTCGTTGCTTTTTTTATACGACGGCTCGACTAGATTTTATAAATTTGCAGTGGTTTTTCGCGCAACGACGATACTACGAATTTTTACAAATTGATAGCTATAATTGTTTTTACGTTACATTATACTACATGAAACTCTGTTTGAACTTTCTGCTTTACTTAGCAAATTTGCTCAACTGTTTTTCTTCTTCTGCGCGGGCTACATGAAAATGGGAATAACTGACGAAGTTACGCGCACTCTGTCCTAAATTTTTACACACGCCTTCGTCGAAGTATGACAAACACACTTGCAAAGTTTCAAATTCGTCGGTCAACCAGTCCCCACGGGAAAAAATCTTAGAGACACAGATAATGGCCTCCAACGTTTTGTGCAATACGATTAAAAAAAAAATTATATAGTTCCACTTAGAAAACTCAGGATGACTTTACTACGAAAGACAAGTATTTTCACCGTTATCCACTTAACGCAAATAAAATTTTGCCGACACCTTCATCCTCAGAAGCGGTTGGAAAAAAATCGCGCGAACCGTTAGAGCGAGCACCCTTTAAATATTTTTTCCCCTTGAAATTACCAACCGTCCGTTAGTATTCACGAGATGATAATAAATTTGATCCATTTATTAATCCGCAACAGTGTGCAAACATAGATATTGCGTGTACCTAACGCGTGAAATATAGTTTCCTCTGCGCGGATACGAAACGTTCTATATGCATTTATGCTAATTAAATGGCCGTGTGTACACGTTAAGCTCGCCTCTAACGCGTTACATCAGAGAATAGAAATGCGCATTACATGGCGTTTGTTGTTTATATAACATTACACGCCTGCTGGAAAATCCGGCAGTTCAGCTGAGCGATGCGATTTTAAAGGCTCGTGTACGCCATGTTCGATTTGCTCGTTACTTCTTAATCGGCTAATCGGCAGAGTCAGCGAACAGCTTTAGTAAATACGTTTCCGCAACGAGTTTTCTTTCCGCCGCGAAACACCGCCAGATTCAGTTAACAAATTATCCGATAAGAGGAGCAAGTGCTAATTTGTCGGTTTAATTACGCGGATTGTGTTTGTATAAGAGTAAACATTGTTGCAGCGCGGGAGAATTTCTTGTATCTAATGTTTTGATAATACGAGTGGAATTATTCGAGGCTTCCGGGTGTAAGCCGTGTCCAAAAGAATTTACGTTCCGCCAGCGTTGCAGCTAGCTTCGTCAGGGTCTGGAGACGTACCGATAATTATCTCCACTCGTTAATTCCACTCATATCGATTTCAGGCCGTGAAACTCTCGTTCGTTTTGATAATAACTGGAAAATTTCACGTGGTAAGGAAAAATCGAAGTGAACAGTGGTGAGAATCTTACAGTCGAATGGTAATTAAGAAATTAATAATTGGGCACACTGAGGCGACGAATGAATATTAGAAATTGTGGAATTTATTTGAAACAAATTTCACCGCGAGTTTTCTCGGTGAACAGATATATTCTAAGTAAAACAATTCTCCTCCTTACCAAATCACTTACAGTGCCCCAAATACTGCGATGAAAGAGCACAGTATAATACGAGCCACTCAGAAGCCAAAATGATTAACTCCACTTTTTGATATTCTTCCAATTTTAGCTAATTTTTCATGAATAAAACAAGTTTAATAAATTTTATTTTACGGAGCTAGTCACTTTGGCTCATATATCGAGCTCAGCGAGCATGCTGCAAGAAGAAGATTCGCGTATAAGAGTTTCAACCTTCCTGAAAGATACTGGAATTTGTCATCAAGTGTAAATCGTTCCAAAGTGTGGTCACTGATAACCTAAGGAAGCGCACGTGAGCTTAAGCACTCAATTAAAATAAGAAAGAAAATCCATACTGTGAATTTCGCCGACCGAATTTAACCACCAAATATGTTCTATTAGAGTGCAAGAGTAACCAGCTCCAAACACTTGACGAATTAAAGAAATATTTGAAACAAAAGAAAATCTCAAGGAAGCTATCCAACTTATCCACAGACTAAACCTTCACTGTGAAATGTAGAATAACCGCCAACTATGGTCGTTAATAGCCAAGATATTAGTGCGACTTTAAATTATATTTGAAAAAATTTGGCAAAGTTCTGTCTTTAACATTGAAAACAAACTGTTCCTGCTAGAATTTTCAATTCTGCAAACTATTTATAGCTAATCAAGTAACAATTTTTTCTACTCTTCTTTAACCTAACGTTGGACAAAACTGTCCAGTGGCAATAATTGCAGACCAATTCGAAGCTTTGTTTAAAAATTCGATCATTGGAGCGCACATATTTACGACTGCACTTTTTAACGTGTACACACGGCGTGTAAATAAATGATACATTAAGGTTTTGATAAACGGGTAGGACAGAAACCGGTTCCATACATGTTCACGTTTACTTTCTCAATTTTCTAGATCAATAATTTCCCACATGTTTGCGAATGTTGTGAAATGACCGATACCGTGACAGTTCACGGTATGATAAGCATCTGCGTGTATTATAAATTCCGCTCATTTACATTTTCGCTGGTACGATCGAGGAGCTTGTCGTTTGGACGTCTAAAAATGTTCTTTACCACTAATTCCAGAGTTCAACGCGAGACATCGTCGTGAACGGACGTTCGGTCGAGTGCTCTCTAGAGTGAGATAAGTCGGTAGCGATAGTAAACGTAATTTAATTACGAGCCGGTTCAACCGATACCTCGTGTTAACGGGGTATTCTAGTGTCATTTTTTATTCCTTCTTAGGGATTTTTTTTGTAAGGAAAGTGTAAGTTTCTCAGTAGCGGCATTTTACATACATATTTATTCATGTTTTAAGAAAGTTCACAATTTTTTGCAAGTGAAAATAATCAAAACTGTCTGATTTATATATCGTTCAGTGCGGTCCCTTTAAACAAAAGGTGTCCTACTGGCTGACACGATTCCGCCCATTCTCTTTGTCCGAAATGAAAAAACCAAAAGGATTCTTGATTAGTACGATTGTGACTATGGTGCGAACTAGAATGAAAAAGAAATAGTGAGAATTTACAAAATGGCGGTATTTTGAATTTTGAATACCGATTTCTTCGACTTTGTTTCGTCTTTCAGAGGGTCTAAAAATCAGAAAAGTATATATTTTGGCATAATGTTTTGAAAACATAATACACAGACTATTCAGCTTCGCTGGATTGACTCCGAGTCCACGAAGTAGTAGCCTAAGTGAATATTACTTGAATGAAAAATAAGTTTAATTTGCCAAATATTATGGTTTCTTGCATTATAATACCATTTCTTTCCTCAGCTTACTTTCATTGTCGAAATACAAAATTAAAAAATTTCATTTTATCCTTTACATTAATTAAAATAAAAGTATTTTATTTGCCAAAATTTTGACAGCATTGCAAATATTTTCCCTCTAAATTTAACCCAGCATTGCATACTATACAGTAAAAATGCCAAGCATCTAGCAACAATCTTTCACGCTCAATTCGCGAAATTTGCATAATCCACGTTCGTACAAGGTGAAAGAGAATTCTCTAAAAATTTCATCGCGACGAGAAAGCAAAGAACGAGTCTCTGTACCCCGAAAAATATTTTTTCCAGGTGCCAAGGGGTCCTCACCGACCGGGCAAAGGCGCCTACTGGGCGCTTCACCCTGCTGCTCTATCGATGTTCGAGAACGGCTCGCTACTTCGACGCCGGAAGCGTTTCAAACTGCACAAACCCGACAAGGAGCTGCTGAAATCCGAACTGCAGGCCCTAGCGTCAGCCATGCCACCACCTCATTCAGAATCCTCGCCCGTGTTGTCCATAAATCCCAGTGCACAGACTAGCAGTCTCACAGTGGCCAATTTGCACCGTCTTCGCGACGACTTGCTGCGCTGGGAGCTGCAGGAGCGTCGCCTAACGATGACTTCCGGCGGGAACGGGTCTCCAGGTTTCACCACGCCAGAGGCTGGTTCCAGCTACTACCTTCTCTCGCCGGAAGTCCGCCAGAGACTCACCGGAACAGACGAGATCCTCCGCGGTTACGAGAACAACCTGTTGCAAACTGGAAGCTGGAGCTTCCCCAGTTTCCACGTCTCTCCCTACGTCTCTCAGCTGTCCTACTTTCAAACGGACATACCCGAGAGTAGGCAGATCTGTCCTGGTAGCACCGAGACCAGCGTCTCTGAGAAAACCGAATCCAGAGGCTTCCTAGAGGCCGGAAGAGGCGCCACGATTGACCCTGTTGACGCGAAGCTACGATGTCCAGGTCTGGAAGCTGGAATATCCAGTCAGACTAGTATTCAACCTGAGCAGAAGAAGAAGAAGAAGCCCTTCACTATTGAGAATATCATCGCACCGGATGACGAGCAGATTTCCAGTAACCTGGACGAGGAGAAGAGGGGACATCTTTTGGTACCCAGGCCACTCTACGCCGGCTTCTCGTTCGGCCTTTCCACGACCAAGGTCCCGTACGAAACCGCTACTTGAATTTGTGTGGCGAAAGTGTGTCTAGTGGATGATTCGACGAGAAAGGACGCTCGAGACGCGACCATTTTGACGTTCGAACACGCGAGTGGATGATTCCCGTATTAATGGCGAGTAGAATCGTTCATACTGTCCGCGCGCGTTTCGCTCGCTTCTGTTTTTATAGAGGGTGATCATGTGTGTGGAGAAGAGAAGGAGGAGGCTACCGATGGTGTACGTTTTTCGAGGTTATGTTTGGAGGTTCGAGATGGAGTAAACATGGCGGGGAGATCTTGGCTGCAGAGAATTGTTTGCCCTTTCACGGTAATGTTCGTGGTGGAAAGTTTGTATTTTTATTTTCGAAATCATTCTTCCGAAGGAAAATGGCGGACGTTTCTGTTTCGCGGGAAGAGGAATTTCGAAGAGGGGGGAAATTCTGTGAAGTTATTCTGAGTGGAGTATAGGAGAACCAATTGGGTCCGGTGAAAATTTTGTGAAGCACAAAGAAAATGTTTCGTTGTTGTTCTATTTACAAAGTATTGAACTTTTGGCTCTTACGATTGATGCTAGTTTAAAAAATTATTTGGCAATAATTTCTTTTTGAGAATAAAGTAGCGTTGATTTTGTAGTTCAACGTGTCTCTATACAAATGTAACGATATTTATCACTTTTGTTAATTAATAATTGTGTCGATATCATAATCTGCATAGTTGAAAGTAGAGTATTAGAAATGTTTAGGAAAGTCAATGAAGAGTGCAGGGAAAGAACCAACAGAAACGAAAAAAAACAATGAAAAAATGATTTGTTTCGTAGATTATTTAAATGTAACAAGTGACAAGTTATCGAAGATTTAATAAACCGAGTACACAGTCGAGTGATGCAGTTTCAGGGAAAAGCTGCAAGCATTGAAACAAGTTTTCAAAAATATTTTCACTGGAAAAGGCACAAAAATATCTGCTTTTAAGCCTTTCGAAATTTCATTTTCTTCATCCTATAAAATTTCAGTTTTTCTCTGCGCTCTTCATTCTGTTTTCTAGAACCAGTTTTTGCGAAAAGCTTTCAAATCTGCGATGGAGAAGCGATCAATATGTGTATTTCTAAAAGATTCATTTGTGCAATGATTTTTGGATAATTTGATTTTAATTTCAATCGAATTAAAGATTAGATTAACCGCACGATTTATGATGTTACAGAGTATTTAACTATAATTTGAATATTTCGAGTAGAAAATGCTTTCGTTTCAATAAGAAACGAGTACAGAATTTTTGAACATTTTCTACCTGCTTAACTTATTCAAATTCACGTTATGGTTTATTAATATTCAATTGGTCGACTGGTTAACTAGAAACAATGGATAAACTAAATTAATAGGTGGAGTAAGAGGTTACTTTCTAAAGAAGTATGTGGAAATGCTGAAAGTTGTAAATCTATATAATAAGCTCGTCCTATCGTGACTTAAGTATACACTTTCTAGAACGAAGATTTTTCGATTAATCATTCGATCATTTGGAATTCACAATTGGTGGTGTAACGGACTATATAATTAGCTACGTAATTGACGAAATATTTAAATAAGGGGTCACGGTGTTAAATTTATTTCGAGCAACATTCAAGACTCGTTTTCCACATTTAATTGAAGGTAAATTGAATTTCTTTCAAATCTGAAGCGATAAAAATTCTAAGCAAAATTCCATGTACTAATATCTTTATATACAGGGTGGTGAATTTTTATATGCAATTTAAACGATCTCAAAGAGGGAATAAAATGGGAAGAAAATTTATTTGTAAATGTCATTTCACTCAAAGTCATCTATATTTCTTTACATTAATTTAGATATTCTTTTCTACTGTATGTTGCAGAAGAACAGTGAATTACGATTTCATTCTAAAATTTTAAGTCAAATGTGAAACTTAAATTTGCTATTTCTTCCATCAAAAAAATTTTTCTTCCATTTCATTCACCCTTTCAAACTATTTAAATGACATATAAAAATTTTCTCGTACTACCATAGCTAGAGAAGATGATTAGGTGACCTGTCTCACGTGTCCCACCTTGTATAACAAAACAAAATCAAAATTTTTGAACCGGGAAAATATTCGACATTTCTCTGTTTTACAATTTCTGAGTAATCCCTTCGAAATTAAAAAAGATCGTAGGGGAACCATTTAAAAAATGATCCCCTTTCTTCCTGAAAGGAGATGAGAAACCTGTAATTTTTAATTTCTATACTTAGAAACAACTGCAGAAACATTTTTACGAATCTACATCGCCAAATTTGTCCAAAACAATTCTGTCAAGCGAACATGTCTGTGCTACGAAGTTAATCAAAATTTACTTACGTACAAGGAGTTGATACGTATAAATCTGCAGTTGAGATGTTTCATGCAACTCAAACAAGACGATTTTCCGAGGTTGATATGAATTTCACGCATTTTTGGATATTTACAAATTGATTCTATTGAAAGAGAATGTCGACCAACGAGCCTTCTCCTTTTCATTCTTGCAACAATTGGACGATTTTTCTTCGAGTGAAAGAGCATTTGGATGAATAACAGAAAGAAACATAACAACGCTAAATGCAAGTTAACGAAAACGATAAAGTTGATTAGTGATAACGCGAAGGAATACAATAGAGTGTTCGAAAATTATTCATCAGACTGAGTGGTGCAATAAGAAGCTCGGTGCAAAGACTGATTAACCCTGTCATCCACGATGATTGGCCAAGAAGATCGAAACAACTGACAACGAAGATTTGCAATATTATGTTAAAAAGTCGAGAAATGATGAGTCGAAATAATGAGCCCTGTGCTCTTAACGCCTGTAGGCACTTCGAAGCGCCGAAAATATATAGAAATGAAGAAAACTGAAATTAATTTGAAAATTTACTCGCACCGTGACCTCGACGCCTACAGGCACTTTGAATATTTTCACGCACAGTGCTGTTGGCACGTTTTGGCACACTCTCACCTCAATTCAAGCCTTGATTCTTGTTCCTCGCGTAATTCCACCCTAATTTTTGAAACGACAAACTTCAAAACTCTAATTTGGAATTTTAATTTTAAAATTTTTCCAAAATTTTGAAACACTAAAACGAAAGATTTTGCTGAATGTGCGGCATACTAAAATCTGCCGCAGCGAAAGGGTTAACATTGAAAGACCTGAATTTAAAGTTGGTTTTTATAAATTTTACACTCGGTCCGAGATGAAAATTTCCAAAACGTTCATTTTCGGTGCGATTTTAAAATTCTTCAAGTTGAGGCAGCAAGTGTATCTACGTGAAATTCACGTCTGCTCAATTTGGTGCACAATTCTCGAACACTCTGTAGATAACGGTAAATCATGAGCATAACAATATAATTAAAGTTTAACAACGTATTTGCATATAACAAGCAACGACATTGACATTTTGCCTGTATCATTGTAATATTGTATATATTCGTTTCACAACGAAGAAACTTACGTAAACGCAACGAGTTCGAGATTCAAGAGAATAATAATTAACACACGATTGACCTACGAAGTTACTCGAAATTCCTTAAAATCTCTCAAAAAGAACAAAAACGAAGAAGAAAAGGAAAAAGAAAGCAAAAGAAGGGAAGAAGTATTACTAAAGAAGTACGTAGCAAGTTCAAACGTACAATTTCTTCGTGTCTCTTTATTCAGACGAGAAAAAGAACTCGAAATACTGTTTAAAAATTAAAGAAGTAAAAAGAAAAACGTTCTGAAGCAACGTTAACACTGTTTAAAGTATAAAAGTGTCTTAAGGCGACGCGAAATAACAAGTAAAGAATAAAAAAAAAAAAGGATTAAAAGTGTTTCGAAAATAGGAGAAGAATACGGAAGTGTTCTGAAAACAACGCAAAATGCTATTTAAAAAATTCGTCTAAAGAGTGCCCCAACGTTAAGAACAAAAATACTAGAAATATTCGAGTGAAAGTATTTGTTGAAGTGCTCGAGCACGTCAGGAAAAGAGCGACAATATTAGGTCATCCTGAAAGTTTCTGCGGTTTTAAGGAGTACAGTAAATTCTCTACAAGTGTCAGTCAGTTTGGATTCTACAAGTGTCAGTATAGATGGTCCTACGCCTAGGTCTGACGTGACAGTGAACGTGTTAATAAGTAAATGTTGTTCAAATTATGCTGTGTTTGATGTCATTTTCATCAGAAAAATCTCATCAATATGTTAAGAAAAATTTCGGGATAAAAAAACGTAAAATTAAAAAAGTTGGTATTTAAATCGCTTGGTTGCCTCGACTCACGTTTCATCCTCATCTTTTATTCGCGAATTTACTGTACGTACTGAAAACAAAGAAACACCATTGATATTAAACATTTTCATTTCAAATAATTTCCATAATGTTCGATACACTTTTACCAATGTTTACAGCAGCATTAATTTCGTGCACATAAAAATTCGAATCTCTAAGAGAAAGAAACTGCTGAAAGACGTTTTCAACATCCTCCCGTTTCCTAAATTCCCTTTTTCCGTAAGGAAATTGTCGAGTGAGCGGAAATGTGAAAATTTGTCGGATATAAATTAGGAGAATATGCAATTTTTATGCAAAGAATAGGGCTTTTTCTGTCGACTATACCTTCAGTTTTTGGCGAACGACCTTCAATTCGTTACTTGTATGACTCTGCAGTGATAATGGCACCCGATCTTAGGAAACTGAGTGAATTAATTCCGAAGTAGACCACTACACTGTGAGCATGATTCTCTCTCCGGTGTAAATTAGATTTGGATCGAGGAGATTCATCTGCGTCCTTCTTTCTTTCAGAGATTCGAATTTTTATGGAATTAATGCTCTTGTGATACGTTGGCAAAAATGTATCGAACATCATAGAAATTATTCTAAGCAAAAATGTTTCATTTCGGTGGAGTTATGCTTCTTCTTCAAAATGAACGGTTTAAAATTCGCGGGAACTTTCAGGATGATCTGATACCTGACGACATTTGAAGGTACTCGATACGTAACGATACTTAAGCGATACTTAATTAGAGGTACTTGCAAGTAATTGTAAGT